AGACGTTGCCCCTGTGCTGGTCAGGAAGCCACAAGCCAGCTGGCAGACTGGGCTGAGACTATAATGCTTTTCAGCCTGTCTTTGATTTTTTTAGAGTATGTGCATCTCTCTCTCCAATGAGACCACAGACTCTTCGAAGGCAAGCGATGGTTGTTCCTCATACATAGATGATCAATAAATGTGTACTGAATTAATGTAAATTGAAATAAGGCAATCACCAAGAATTCACACTATTTTCTAATAGCAATGATAGGCTAGAAATAATTAAGATTGTTCTAATGCGGAAGATTTTCCGATTCTCAAAGTTAACCCATTCATTCTATGAACCTTTGCCATGTGCCAGACACTGGTAATCACTGAAGTGAAAGACAAATAAAATTATCTCTTCAGAAGCCCACAGCCTAGTTTGCAGAGGAAAACGAACCGAAAATCCTTAATACATGTGTGGTGCAATTGTTGGAATGCATGAAACATTCTCTGAGTTCTTAGAACAGCTGGCTCTTTCTAGAAGTATATAAAACAAGTAATATTTAGCAAAATAAAAAATTGCCATTCAACTAGGAGAAATGAAGTGGGTTTACAGGGTTGACCATACCTTTCAAGTCAAGGTCTCATTCATTCTGGATGCCCAACCAGCAGCCATAGTAGGGTATGGCCATTTCTGCCCAATGGGGGCTTCCTAGTGGGGCAGCTCTTGCTCTGGAGCTCCCCACTAGGTTGGTGAGAACTTGTCAACCCACATTGCAGTCTGGGACCTTCCTGCTCCTTTTGGGTTCCTCCTCCCTCTCATCTGCATGGTCCGACGTCAGATGTGCATTACACCCTGTAGCCTACCTTGTCCAATCCTGCTTCTCCACCTCCACCCTTCCCAGGTGTGGCTCCTCCGTAACTCCATCCTGGCAACTGCATCCCAGAGACCAAGACTGACCCAACAGGGGTGCAGGTCACTTACTTCCCTCCACACCCCTTACCATCCCCCTCAAAACTCCAAAAATAATGACATATACACCAGAGTTAAAAACATCATGCTATATTTAAACATCTGCATATAATAAATCAATTTTCTTTGTACTAAAAAAATACAATGCCTATGTATATAACCTGATTTTGGAAATATCAAAAATTAAATGTGTGGTCCTTTGGGAATATGAGGTCCCAGACAAATGGCCCTCCTTCCTTTCCACCATGAACAGACCTGCCAGATATCACAACTCTGGGAAACTCTCCAGGATCACCCCAGGCTGGGTTGAGTGGCCTCTTGTACGCTTCTGTAACATCCTAACCTCTGCCTCTAGATTACTACCCTGGACTGGCACCAGCTGTAGATGTTCCGCCCCATGCACCTCTGCGTGCACCCCAACTCAGTAGTGAGAGGCTGGAGGACCCAGCACAGAGTAGGCATTCAGTATTGACTTTGGATCAATCACTGACTGACCTAAAAAGCCCCATATATGACCCATCTCCACAGTGTTCTTGCAGGTTTAGAAAAGGCCGGGGAAGAGAGTCTGAGGAACCCTTTCTGGAGTGGACATGGAGGCGAAGGAAGGGAAGTACTCGGGGATCATGTCATAATGCCTCTCAAGTCACGGGATCCAGGGGCACCTGGCCAGGCATTGGTTGCTGGTGAAGACAAGAGACCCTAAAGCCTCTTCTGTTGGTACCTGAGCTGACCCCAGCCAGGTGACAAGGCTGACCCTCTGGCCAGCCAGGCTCTGAGCTGGGATTACCAGCCAGGAACCCTAGGTCGGCCAGAACTCCAAGAATTAGTCCCAAACTTTTCTGGGAGCTTCGAGCGAGACAAGGGCTTGGGTTTCTCTCTCTGGTCCAGGTCCTGGGAAAGATCTTCTAAGGAAGAGATTTCAAGGTCACTCTCATCTTCAGAAAGCTGCAGGGGAAAGAAGAGAAGAAAATACATTTTGACAAGGGAGGAGGGTGGCAGAGAACTCCGCCCAGTGCAGGATGGAGGTGAGACAGATGCAGATTTGGAAGACAGCAATAGGGAGACACTGCTTCTCCTGCCTCCCTCCTGCCAAATCTCCTCCCTCTGCAAACTGGTTCAGAGACCTAGGGGTCAAAGTGATGTCAAATATCCTGGAAATTCTACTAAGCAAATCAAGGAAAGTGCCTTGGAAAGGTCTCTGTGAAGACCAGGTTGGTCTCGTTTTTATTTTAATTTTGGGCAGATTGTAACTTCTCACATCCTTGACCCTTCCAAATTCTCTAGCTCAACACGCCATGGCTACAGTACCCACTGCCCCCAGACTGGCTCTTCCAGGCCTAATAAATGCTCTGGCAGAAGGAACCTGAGGGGACCCCAGGAGCCTCAAGAATCCCTCAGCCTGGAAGGGGACTAGTCGGCCAGGGGCCCAGGACACCCCAGACCACAGTCGCCTGTGTAGCAGCTCAGGCCTCCTTCCCCAGAGCTCCCAGTGCCCCTACTGGCCACCTGGACTTTTAAGCCATTCCGGGCACTTTCTCCTGGAATGGAGGCGGGTCAGAAACCATGCAGGGCAGAGGAGTGAGCTCCCTCTGAGCAGCGGCTCCATCTGTGCAGGCTGTTGGTGGTCCTTCACACTTTGGGGAAAGGGACAGGTGTGTTTTCTTATCATTTGAACCCGTTACTCACAAATATGTGTGAAGTGCAGGATAAACCTAACACACGCTGTAGGAAAAGGGAGGGAAATGCTATCAAAGCCCGAGGACGAGTGGCCTCTACTCTGAATTTTAGGACAATGGCAATGATCACTCCAAGATGCACCTTTTTGATTGAGAAAGGTGAGAAAGGAATGTAAAGAGAGCTCAAAAGTTTTCTGCCTAATAAAATAACAAGAGCACGGATGCCGCTCCTTCTGGGGAGCAGAGGTAAGGACCGTGAGGAGGGGCTGCTGGTGGTGGGGCAGGCCCGACAGCCCAGCTCTAAGCCTGATGATCTGATGGCTGCGACAGCCTAGGGCAAAGCCATGAAGACATGCCCTTGAATATCTAGAATAAAGGTGTCTACATATTCCCATGTTACCAACTCTGATATGCCAGGCAGGGCCACGCCAATCCCCACCTGGGGGAGTCTGCTCCACACATGACCCAGCAGTAGCAGAGCTGGAAGAAAGCAGCTACTGCAGGGAGCCAAAAAGAGTCATCCCAAGGCTCTCTCAGAAGCAGGACATGGGAAGACCTGAACTTACTTCGCAGCCCCTTGTTCTCTTTTGGTAAAAAGAACCAAAGTCTTTTTACCATCGACATGGACACAACAAGTATCCCAAAGTGGCCATGTCTCCATGTGCACAGGGGCAGAGGCAGACAATGAGGTCACCTGCGGTGTCACACCAGGGCCAAGGACATGGGGACCCCCCACATGACCCTCAACCCAGGCCCCCCAAACTCAGAGCTGGTTCTGTAAGGAATTACAGGGAACCTCCATGTGACCTACATCCTACCTGAGGCTTCTTTCCTAGCGTGGCAGCCTTTTGTGGCCTGGCATTGGGCATTAAAAACAGACTGACCCCTCCAGCAGGCTTCTTTGCCGGGGCTTCAAGCTGCTTCTCCAAGTTTTTGACCATCGACTGCACCAGTGTTCCTGGAGGGGAACAAGTGGCTGTGTCCATAAGAAAAGCCTAGAGAATGAAAGTTTCATCTTTGCGGGTCAGGTCCAGGCTCCAGTGTGGACAGAGGGAATGTGCAGAAGGGTCAGGAGAGAGGAGGTTGGCAACTGCAAAGAAGAGCGGCCAGGAAAGAGAGAAGGACTGTGCAATGGGTGTCCTGCGGAAGCAGGTCCAGAACAGTCTGCACATGTAACAGTGCACGCTCAACATGGTGGGGGACAGAGACTGAGGCAGAACCCCTGGTCAGTGTGGGGCATGAACTGCACCACTAACATGCAGCTACACCCTCCTTCTCCATCATCACAGAGACCAGAAGAAATGTCACACATGGAAACCAGGACAGGAGGGCTGCAGGTGGGAAGGACTTTCCCTGCACTGCTGGGCAGCAGACCCCTGCTGCCTAGTAAGCCATGGTGAGGTCTGGACCTCAGGAATGACCAAGAAGCAGGGAAAAAAACTACACTACAGCCTTCTGGGATTCAAACTTCTGGGGCCTGAACAGACTTTGGGAGTTACAGTAGCCCTTGGCCACTGATTCATTCAATAAATGTTTGTGGAGTGCCTACTACATACCATGCACTGTGCTCCTCACCCTCTCATTAATCATATTATCCAAATACTTCATTTTACAATAAAAGAACCAAAACCCTTATATAAGGACAAACATGTGACAGAGCCAGAAATGTTCCTGAAGACTCCCACCTCTCAGTCCCCAAATCTCGCCACCCCATCACCCTTGCCCAGCATGGTGTCAATACTGCCCCACAGATCTGGCTGGGGCTCACCTGAAGGGGGGCAACTGTGCTAAAGAGGCAAAGCTGGCTCTTTCTCTGACCTCCTCCTGTACCAGGCTTTGGGGCCTGGCCCAAATGGCCCCCACTGCTGCCTGTTTAAGATCCTACCCACCGACTGCAAACTAATACAGCCTCTCTGGAAAGGAGTATGAAGAATCCTCAGAAAAACTCAAAATAGACCTTCCATTTGATTCCACAATCCCATTACTAGGCATCTACCCAGAAGGAAAAAAAGTCATTTTATCATACGGACATCTGCACTAGATTGTTTATCCCAGCTCAATTTACAATCACCAAGATGTAGAAACAACCTAAGTGCCTATCAACCCATGAATGGATTAATAAACTGTGGTATACCATGGAATATTATTCAGCCATAAAAAAGAGACTTTACAACTTTCATATTAATCTGGATGGAGTTGAAACACATTGTTAGGCAAGTATCACAAGAATGGAAGAGTAAGCATGCAATGTACTCAATACTAATATGAAGCCAGTTGACAAACTAATACATGCCCACACGAGAGAAAAACTCAACTCAATTCAAGTTGGGGGGAGGGGAGGGAAAAGGGAGGGAAAAGGAGGAGGAAGGGGGATTCTGTGCTCCCACCTGATGGACACAATGTAAGGGTATATGGCACACCTCCTGGGTGCAGGACACAATTACAACAGGGACTTCACCTAACAAATGCAAACATTGTAACCTAATTGTGTATATCCTCATATTACCCAAATTTTTTTAAAAAGTAGAAAAACAAAGATCCTTCCCACCCAGGGTCTGCTTTGCCCACCTATCCCTGTGCACAAGAAAATCTGACTCTGGATTTAGAGAAGGCTGGAGGGCCCCACTTCTCTGGGCCCTGTCACTAATTAGAGTGAGGTGTCTCCACATGATTGACCACAGTATTATTCTCACCTGGAGCGAATCTGGAAGCGAAAAGGAATGAGTGCCCCCCACCCCTGTCTCTAAGAGCTAAGGGCCAAAATAAACCTCGCTCAGACTCCAGATTTCTCTTACTATCCTGCTTCCCAGGAGGGTAAGGAGGACCATCCTCTCCAAGTCAAATGGAGAAAGAGATGCCAAGTCAGAAAGCCCCCAAAAGAGTGAAGGATGTTGGCTCAGCACCTGTGGCTCAGCAGCTAGGACACCAGCCACATATACCAAGGCTGGCAGGTTCAAACCTAGCCCAGCCAGGGCCTGCCAAACAACAATGACAACTACAACAACAGAAAAAAACAGCCGGGCATTGTGGTGGGCATCTGTAGTCCCAGCTACTGGGAGACTGAAGCAAGAGAATCACTTAAGTACAAGAGTTTGAGGTTGCTAATTTGAGGTTGCTGTGAGCTGTGACGCCACAGCACTCTCTGTCTCAAAAAAAAAAAAAAAAAAAAGAATGAAGGATGTTTGTAGGGCCTAGAGAAATCTAGGGGAGAGGGATACCCCAGCAGCCCCGGCCCACTCACTGGAAGAAGCCAACCCTCCTGAGCCCTGGTCAGGGGGCGGGGCGTTCTCTGAGGTCTCCGTGTCAGACCAGGCCCAGTCATCCTCCGGCGGGGCCACCACCCTGGAAGGAACTTGTAGGGGCTGACGAGCCATGTGCTGCACGGAGCCTCCCTCCGAGTCCTCAGAGCTGAACGGGGATGTGCTGCTGCACAGAGAAGGAGAAATGAGTGATGTGCAGACAGGGAGAAAATCTCAGAAGCCAAACATTACCACACTGTGAGCTGAGAACCAGAACCAGCCCTGCTCCCTCCCTCAGGCCCAGACAGCCAGGAATCATCCAGGCGTGTGGCAGCCACAGCAGTCTCTCCCTCAGGAGACAGGTAGGCCTGCCTGCCTGAGGACCCAGCATGCCAAGGTGGCAACTGGGCTTGGGGCCAAAACCAGGTAAGGTGAGAGTTCATCTCACTCAAAGCAAAGGATCCCAGGCCTCTTCTTTGGAGCTCAGGTTGGATTCCACCTGAGATACCTCCTGTTCATTTCTCTCTGCCCCTCACCTGTGTGCATGGGCCTGGGGAACCCTGATCAGGGGTTCTATCTACTACTGGCACAGTGAGAAGGCAGAGTCTAGGGCTCACCTCCGCCCAGGCCCTGGGGAAGCAGAAGTGTTGGAGGGTCCATGCACTCTGGGGCGTGGGGTCAGGGTGGACACCTGGGTCAGGCCAGGGCCACGGCTGCCACGGCTACTACGTTTCTGAAGAGTTGGTATGGGTGGCTCCGCTGGCTTGGAAGGCAATGCCACCTGCAGGGTCCTGCTCTTTGGCTGAGCCTCTCTGGTGACCAGGGTACTCCACTGGTTTTTGACTAGAAACACAGAAAGGAATGACTTTCAGAGTATACCCATGCTGGGCCCTCAAGCCTGAAAGGACGTAGAAAGAGAATCTAACACGCTGAAAACGGACAAGTCACTCCATCCATTGAAAAGTTGACCCCACCCCACGGGTTCCACTGCTGGCCAGCTGGTTCCATGCCTTTATCAGATGAGCAGCCAGGCAGTCCAGGGCCATGTTGTTATTCCAAGAGACCAGGAGGAGTCAGCAGGTCTAAATAAGGTCTCGGCATGTCTGCAGCTCACCCCCAACACAGTCAAGGCCACCTCCCTCTCCACTCACCCACACTGCAGCCACTAAAGTGTAGATGGCCCTGCAGGAAGGCCCTGCTGCCACCAGAGGTCGCTGCAGGACTGCATGAGACCTTGAGATTGCACTCTCCTTCCAAACCCAGCCTATGGCAAGGTAGGCAATTAGATACAGAAGTTTAAACTAAACAGCACAGTTTCTGAGGTCATCAACAGAATTTTTATTGTATTCTCATACCAGCCTTTCTGCTATCTATTGAACATTTTATACAAAATGACAGCACCTTTAAACATAAAATACCTGCTTTATGTTTGTCTAAGTAATAATTCTCATGAATTGATAGGATTACTGTTAGCAACATTTTCTTCTAATTCACATGAAGAAAAATAAAGATTAAATTTTAAAATGACTGGTACATTTATAACAACTAAAATCATCTGTCATGTCCCCAGAGATATGTGGACCACTCTTTGCAATATTTCTCTGCATGAAGAGTTCAGATTGGGTCTGCTGGGAGTGAGGAGATGTTGATTTGGTCTCCTACTGGCCACATGTCCATGACAGAGAAGATGTGGAAGGAATAGGAAGCACCCTGCATGAGCTGACCCAGGCCCTCTGCCCGGGGTCTCCAGTCACCACAGCCCAGTAGATCTGGGAATATTCTAGAAATGGAGGGCTCTCCAACTTAGGAATACAAATTCCTTTGCTCCATAAGGTCTTTGTGGACAAAGACTCAAGGGTCTTCACCCATGGAATTTAGTCCTACACCAGAACCACAGGCCTTCCCTTGTCATGACCTCAGAGGCAGGGACAAGGCGCAAAGCGGTGGCTATAACCTGGCCCAGGTAGCCACGCCTCAGCTCTGTAGATTTGTCCTCGTGCAAAACTGGCCCTGCCTCTCATGGCCTCCCACTGCTCAGGGCAGGGGATATCTGAGCTCTGAGGAAGTTTCCATTGATTGCTATTTGCCTCTGCCTGCAACCTCAAGGCTCCCAGACCTTTGGTCTGTCTCCCAGTCCTGGCATGTGTAGCTATAACCAAACAGGCTGCTCTCAGCTGGACAAAGCTGCTAGGGGATGCAGCACATCTCAGCAGGGACAATGCAGGCTGACCACAAGCTCTATCTCAGGCTCTCTGCCAGATTCCTGATGACACTGGACAAGTACAACCACCCCCACCCTGGACTCTGTTTCCTAGTAGAGGACATCCAGGCTCAGCCACCTGTGAGGAACCCACCAGCTCAGCCCTTCAGAGCAATAATCCTGATGGCAGGCAGGAGTCATATCTTCCTGGTGTGGACACAGCCTTAGCAAGAACAGGACCCTTCTAGGTCACAGCCCCTAAGCAAGCCTCTCCCCAGTGTACCTGAAGACTGGCCATCTCGCTGGGACACTGCAGCCCTATTCTCCTGTTTCTCCTTCAATCTGCTGGTGATTTCCTGGATGAGTTTCTCCCTCAGACTCAGAAATTCAGAAAAACTTCGGGCCTTCTGCTCCCGCTGGGCTCTTAGCAGGGACTCCAGGTGTCTGAGAGTCTGAACCGAGATTCCCTTTGCACCCTAGAGGAGACAGAAGTTCACCTTCCCAGAAACAGGCTACCCTTCTCCTTCCCTAAGCCTCTCACCCCTGCCGCTGCCAACCTGGAGTCCATGATCAGCACCTGGTGCTTCTCTTGCAGAAGTGCAGGGGTGGTGGGCACATGAAATAAGGAGCAGAGTAGGGTGGAGCAGCTTCACAAACAGCCAAAAATGCAATGGTTCAGGGTTTGGGACCCCCTCAAAATATACATACAGGGTAACGCAAAGGACTGCATCACAATTCTACCCTCATCATAGAATTAGGGATTTAGATGGAACATGCCTCAGATGTCCCACCTGACTGAAGCCTAGGATGAGAGACTATGGACAGTTCATTTTTGTTCCCCAAGCACTATCATTATGCCAGACACATTGTCCATGGCTAACAATGTTTGAAAAACTAAACTGCAGTAAACAAGAACATGTACCCTTCCAAAATGTACTGGAAGTTGCTTGGGCTTTTGGCATCCACCAGAGCCCAGTGGAGGGCCTTGGGAGGCATGTGAATCCAAGAGGAGGATTCATGCAAGGTTAGAAAGAAGTGTGCTAATCAAGTGTGAACACGGGGCCAAAGTAAGATTAAGCAGTAGTTGAAAATGGTCCAAGATTAGTGAGCCTCCTTACTAAATTAAGCCTACGTGTCTATGCTTTTCCTAACTTACTCTGTACAAATAGTTATTTTCAGTGATCGGGTGCTAGGCTACTTTAATAACAAGGTATATTTTTATTTAATAACAGATTTAACTGGTGTCTCTAGTGATAATATGCATGCTCTGGTTATCACAATGGCATTCAAATACTAACCGGTGCCAGAGACAGCTCCCTGAGCCTGCCCACCGAGGCCAACTGCTGAGCGGGCATGGCCACATGTGCCACAGATGATAAACTCGGAGATGAACACTTTCCCAATGGGGACTGTCCATAGGCCAAACTGAGCCAATTAAATTCCCTCTGGCAGAAAATTTAGAGACACAGAAGGAAGCAGCCAATGAGTGTGCTAAGAGGTCGGGACTCGGGTGGCATCACCAACCACATAGGGCCAATCTCGGGAAGTGAGAAGAAACCCGAGAAGAGACCGCTCTGCTGCTGGAGATGAGGGGAGAGCTGTGCGGATTTCCCTTCACAGACACCAAAGGAGCCCAGGTGGGAACAAATGAGATGAACGACTTCACAGTGTAAATAACAGCTGATCATTTCTCAGTTTGACAACTTCTACGGGCCCTTAAAACGGTGGCCCTGGAACTTACCTTCTTTATCCCCAGGCTTTGCAGCTTCTCTTCCAGGGTGTCCTCCAGGATGGGCTTGAATTGCTTCAACAAAGTAGGGTCACTCCTCAGGGCTGCCAGCACCTCCTGCTGCTCATCTCCGGAGTCCTCCAGCTCTGCAGCACAAGACACCACCGGGCTCAGCCTGGGCACCTGAGACCTCCATTCCCAGAGCCCCACTGCCCTTGCCAAGCACTTGTGCTGCCAGTGATCCTGCTCTCTGGCCTGTGAGCCAAGGGCCACTGACCGCTTCTGAGTGTCTATCCTTGGATTAAATTATAGGGGTCCTCAAACTTTTTAAACAGGGGGCCAGTTCACTGTCCCTCAGACCATTGGAGGACCAGCCTGTGGGCCCCAGGACGAGTCGGCTGCTAAGCAGGACAGGCAGTGGCAGCAAAAGTACCCGGCGGGCCAGATGAATGTCCTTGGAGGGCCACAGGCCATAGTTTGAGGACGTCTGGATTAGAAGCTGGAGTGTTTCAGCTCCTGGGTACCACCACCATGGACCCTCCACTCACCTTCAGCACTCTCATCCCCTACCAGTCTAGACCTCCGAGATAATGAAGAGACATGACGTGACTTCCCAAATAAGTTGTTAACAGTTTAGCCAACTACAAAACATGGTGCACAGTGTGCTCCCATTCAGGGAAAAAGGAGAATGATGGGTATACTTATGTGATTGTATTTGCACAGAGTCTCTGGACGGATGCACGAGGGACCATGAAGAGTGGGACTTGGGGAGAGGAAACTGGGTAGCTGGCAGGAGGGAGCCCTGCTTCTCACTTCTCACTGGATACCCTTAAAACTATTTCTTTCTTTCTTCTTTTTTTTATTTTTTTTGACCAAGTCCACAGATTAGATGACCATCTCGGAAATAAAGAAAAGCATTATAATAAAAAATAAAATACCCCATGATGAGCTCTTCAATGACACAAGTAAAACCCTTTCCTGGGTGTGTCTTTTGAGTAACGTTGGCATCACCCTCTCGCAGCCTGCTTGGGCAGGCAAGGTCTGGTCAGTATGTTGCCCAGTGAGCACTCTATCTTTCCCGGGAGCTTCTCCTCCCTGACTGTCCTGGGAGATCCTGGCAGTCAGGGAGTATATTTATTTCTTGCACTTTTCTTTTGTATACCTTGGCTACAAGGTTGAGAGCTCTGCAAATCAGAATCAGTCACTGAGTAGAATGAATACAACAGTCAGCACCTGGTACTCTGACAAGCGAGCCAAGGTAGGTTCCTGCACATTAGTTAGGCCTATGGGATCTGTCTGCAGCCCATTCACACTGCAGGATAAAACAGCAAAGGCCAGGGCAGGCACAGTGGCTCACACCTATATTCCAAACACCCTGGGAGGCTGAGGCAGGAGGATCCCTTGAGCTCAGGAGTAGAGACATGTCTGAGCAAGAGCGAGACCCCATCTATACCAAAAAAGAAAAATTAGCAAGGCATTGTGGCAGGTGCCTATAGTCCCAGCTGCCTGGGAGGCTGAGGCAGGAGGCTCATTTGAACCCAGGAGTCTGAGGTTTCTGTAAGGTAGGCTAATGCCTGGCACTCTAGCCTAGGGAACAGAGTGAGACTCTGTCTCAAAAAAAAAAAAAAAAAAAGAAAGAAAGAAAGAAAAACAGCAAAGGCCATTTTCAAGCAAACTCAGTGAGTTCTCTTCCACTACTCTGGATAGTACCAGGTGAGAGGCAGTGGGCTGGGCTGTGAATCAGACATCACTCCAAATCCTGGCTCAGTTACCAGCTAGTTTTGTGACTCTGGGCAAGTTTCTGACCCTCTTGGAGCCTAAGTTTCCCGATCACCAAACCAGCAGATTGCATATTAGTACCTGGCACATGTAAAGTGCTTGAGAAATGCTCTTTCATGGCCTTAGTCCCCAGCACCCCAGCTTCAGGTGTCTACATACAGCCAAGTAGAGACAAACTAAATAATGAAGAGGGCAGCCAATTTGTTTTCTGTCCTGAACACCCAGAAATAAAACAAGGCCCACCTTCAGGAGAATCCTCCTCTGTGTCTGCAGCCTTTGGTGCTTCACGGACCCCTGAAGGGAACAAGAACAGTCAGTGGCTCCAGTGCCCTGGATCTCATCCCCAACTTAGAGAAAAGTGCTAAACCCCAGCAGAGTACCAGCCAGAAAAAGCAAGCCTCCCGTCAGTTCATTTTTACTAGAGAAGGCAAGATGGAGCCGTGGTCTCATCCACAGACACTGGAGACAAAGATCAGCGTTCACATGCCAGCTCTGCCCCTGGCCAGCTGTGCACGAGATGGCAAGTCCTTGAACCTGTCTAGGCCTCAGTTTCCTCATCTAAGAAAAGAGGATAGTAATACCCACCCAAATTCACTCATGAAGTCAATGATACTGAAGCACTGGCCAAGGGCATAGCCCACAGCTGCTACTAACGTACTATTCTGCTCCCAGCCTTCAAAAAGCTCAGGGCCATGGGAACAGCGCCTCTCTGATCTGGCTGCAAGGTTGGGAAAGACATGGCTAGTCCCAAGGCAGAGCATGGGAGGAGATGTGAGTTTGCATGAAAAGGAAGAAAGGGAGCTAAAAGCATAGGACAGGGGAGCTGGAAGTGGTGTGTGAAGGGCCAGGCTTCCCAGGGCTGGGCCAGGCACCCCCAGCAGCAGCAGTCCCTGTGGGCTTCTGTCTCCCTTTAGACATCAGCACCCACACTGCATTACACACAGGTACGCACACATACCTCCACACCAGAGTCCCCAAGAGGAGGACAGTGTGTGTGCCTAACAGGCCACATCCATATGGGTTTAGAGTCAACTTCCAACATACTGGGAAGAAGGGAAAGAATACGAACAACCCTGAGGCCCTGTCACAGGCATGGTGACTTAGAAGTCTGCTCATGAACCCCACCCCATCAATCACCACCCCCACCCCCCAGATCCTCACCCCTCCCTAACACTCATCCCTCTGCAAAGAAAAATAGGCCAGGCAGAGGGTCCTGTCAATCCTGGAATCTTCTTCCTTCACCCAGCTGGACAGCCTAACCCCACATGTCCCATGAGCTGCTGTCACCAACCCTCTACCTATAAACTGATTATGAGGAGAAAAGCCCAAGACCATGGCCGAGATGGATACAAACCACTCCATGCAGACTTACCCTCCACCTTCCTGAGGGACAAGGTCTGGATCTGCAAAGAGGTGAACAGAGCTGGTTACAACCATCAGAGAACACCGTGGAAGCTCTGCTCCAAGCAGTGTGCCTGCCTAGCCCAGTGAATAAGGGACACTGTTTCCATGCCACCCCCTGGGAATGGGAAGGAGCTCAGATGCACTGCTTCAGCCCCCCAACACCTCGCCTGGGTCCACATGTGAGAGGGTCAGCAGCACACTATTTCCCCAAGGTGGGGAGGTAAGAACGTCCCCCCTTCAAAGAGAGATGGTGGATCAAGGGCAGAAGCCCCATAGAAGCAGAGTAATACAGGCACACAGTCAGTACTATTGGTATAATTCATGAAAAACATCTAGGGTAAGACAGAGGCTCGTCTCCCACCATGTGGACATCTCATGAGGAGTGAGGCCAGAGATGATCCCTGCCAGGAGGCAGGATGTGCACTGTCTGCTCAACCCCTCTTTCCAAAAAGTGCCTCTTTCCCGCCCGCCACATGGTTTCAGGTGGGGCAGTCATGTGTGAGCCATGTGACCTCACACCACAGCCACAGATACCATCCAGTTTGGGGCAGAGAGTTCTGGACTAGTCATAAGTCAAGAGCAGCCAACTGTTTTTAGTTTTCTTAGTTTGTCTGTCAAAACCAACCAGTCTTGTAGTCAACCGTTTGGGGTTCTCTTAGTTTATCTGTTTATTTCTTTATTTGTTTGTAGGGCCACATAGAACAGATAAGAAACAAAAGCTGATCTTCAGAGTAAAAGCAAAAATTGAAGCAATTATAGAGAAAAGACAGAGACACACACAAGAGGAAAACTCCAGACCACGTTCCGGTTTATCCCGACTCAGCTGCTTCCTCCAACCTTGAGCTCTGCGAGATGCTCTGTCTACTGTCATGACAAATTCCCTCTGCTACATAAGCCTGAGTTGCTTTTCATTCCCTGTGGTGGCACATACTGACCCATGTCTCGCCCAGGATCCATTCCCAATTGTCTCCTCCTTTGGCCAGCTCTACAACTGAGGCTATAAAACTAAGTATTCACTTCCTTGCAGCTTCAGTTGCCTATAGGACAGTTCTGACCAATAATATAAAAAGCAGAAATCTTTTTATCAACTGCTTCTGCCATATATGGGTGGATGGGTGAGGCCAAAGCAGGCAGCTTACAACTGCTGAGAGTCAAGCAGGGAACAAAAGTCATCACACTGAAGATGGCAAAAAGAAAAGCAGTCTGGATTCCCAATCGCATAATTTTATCGCTAACCAAGGCCAGCAACTCTCACCTCTATCAACTTATTCTATTATCTTTAGCAGATGGGTTCCTAACTGAATCCTTTGTAAACAAGAGTTCTGGGGAATAAGGAGTAAACCTCCACTAGGACGTGAGGTGGCCGCAGCAGTGAAGAGCTATGACAACATGGGGGGAAGAAGGAAGACGATGAAGACACAGATACAACGGCCGGCCGAAGTGTGGCTGGGAGTGCAGAAAAGCCCAGATAGCAAGGGGTGTGGAAACAGGAAGCGAGGACAGCTGAGTGACGGTGGGTGCTCGGCCCAGTTAGCTGTGTGCAGGCTGGCAGGCTGGTCCATGACAGGGGCGGGGGCAGAACCATGACAAGGACCTGAGGCCACAGGAGGGCCCCAGAGGGGAAAGATACAGCTCTCCCACAGACCTAGGCCCAGGAGGAACAGCTGAGCTGGGCAGAGCAGAGCATTGTCAGCAGTAGGTGATGACTCACAGGGGCAGATAGAAGCCAGGCGCCCAGCAAGTGTCTTTTTATCCCAGTTTATCTGGTAACCTCAGCAAGGGCTATTCATTTATGGAAAGGGCGCTGGTTAAGAAACGATGGCTAAGAACACAACATAAAGAACACAAACTCTGCGTCCCACCTCCCTGCCTAGTGCTGAATCTCACCCCTGTGGTTTACAGAGTGCCCCATGTAGACTTCAGAGAGACACTTGACTTGTCCAGCAGGTTTCATCTCTGTCAAGTGAGAAGGGGAAGCCTACCTTGAAGGGCAGCAGTGAAGCTTAAATGAAGGAATAAGCAAAGTATGAATGAGGTGCTGGGCATTTTATATGGTTTCTGCTGTTAGCGTGACCCCATCTGCCAGTGATCCTTAAGGAAGATGGCACATCATTAGCCTGGAGGAGGCAGCAGCACCCTCATCGCTTTGTGCTCCTCATGTCAGAGGACACTTGTCTGTCTTTAAGGAGCCTAAGTAAGAACATTAGCACCAAGGAGCCCAGAAGAATCCATGGAGATGCTTACAGGGAGGAGGTCTGGGTACACCAAGGCCTGGCTAAAAGGAGGAATCGACCTACCATCTCCTCCTGGGAGGCGATGAGCCTGGCTTGTTCCTGCAGCCGGGTGCGGAGGGCACTAATTTGACGCTGGGCCTGGGCAGCTGCCTTCCTCTGATCCTGAGATAGGGAGGCCTGGAGTCTCTCGTTCTCCTCCTGCAGCTGGTAGACACAGGTGCAGTCAAACATCTGCAGGGACCTCTGAGTGCCCAGAGTCTGCAGGGCCAGCAAATGCTAGGTGAGGGGTCCACTTGAAGCAGGTCGATTTCTAGACCTGGACAAGTGGCTTTTCAACAAGACTAACTGCCTTCCAGTTTGGAAACATTTATGAGTATGCCTGAGAAGAAGTGAGGATGGAAGGCAGGACAGAAAGGGCTGTCAGATGTGCCTACCCACTGAGGGACTGTCAAGTAAATTGAGACCATTCAAAAACCATCAAGTCTATGTTTTTAAGTAAAAACAAGAAGTAAAGAAAATGCATTAACATGCTACTTCTGATGTAAGAGCAGAGACAAATTGAGACAATCTATTAATATTTGCATAAACCCTAGAAGAATGCACAAAAAGCCATAAAAGTCATCACTTGTGGGGTGGGTGTTGGGGATAGATAGACATGAATGAGTAGGTATAAGACTTGTACTCAGTATAGTTTAGTGTATTTTCCCTGCAGTGAGGGCAATTTTGAATGCATTTCTCATTTTAAAGTGTTTCAAATAAAATAAAACCATCCCCTGTGAATTACGGTGCTTCCCTATACTGGAGTGCTCAGCCTTTTCAATTCCTGAGCTTCCTGCAGGCAGGACCTGGGATGCTTGTTAACCAACTTCCTCCTCGGCTTGCCTCCTCCACAGGGCATCTTTACACAAGCTGTTCTCACTACCCTGAGACCTGCTGCTCCTTGTTCACTGGTCTCAGTATCCGAGTTCTTCCATCTGGACTGCCCATGAACTATCACTGAGGTCCACAGCCACCTAGTTCTCTCCTAGAGTGAAGCAATTTCAAAAGAGTCCAAACACAAAATGACCAGGTGATCCATCTGAGCCTTCCAGAACAACCCTCCTTGGAGGGTCTAAAGGGGTCACTGCAAAGAGGACCACAGAATAAAGGATGTGTTAGGTTCAGAAGAGAAGGCCTGGAGGCCCCTGCTCCTGGCCAGGGAAGACACTGACCAGGCAGCTGACCCCTTCTGTGCACTGATGAGAGTCAGCACCCCACAACCACATCAGCAACAAAATACCTACTGATAGAGAGAGAGAAGGTTGCTGAATGAGGAAAGGAGGTCACAGAAAACACAGACTCCCCCAGAGGACCCAACAAGAGCTACCTCTCTCTTCTCAGCCACATGCTCTTCATGCAGTTCCTTCATTTTTCTCTTCCACTCAATTTTCTGAAAAAGATTAAAAGCTTATCAAATGGGCCTCTCTAGGTATTAAAAACATAAGCCAGTGGCTCAAACCGGAACTCCTCCTCACACTCTGAGAGGCCAAGACAGAAGGGCCACTTGAGCTCAGCAGTTCAAGGCCAACCTGAGGAAGGAGACCTTGTCTCCATAAAAAATAGAAAAATTAGCCAGCGATCACGGTACGTTCCTGTAGTCCCATTTACTTGAGACACTGAGGCAGGAGGATTATTTGAGCTCAGGAGTTTGAGGTTCCACTGAGCTATGATGATGCCACTGTACTTAACCCAGGGTGACAGAGTCTTACTCCTTGGAGGACCTAAGGGGGTCACTGCAAAGAGGACCACAGAATAAAAAAATTATAAAAAGTACACAATTAAAAAGTGATTAGGCAGACAGAAAAACGGAACAGAATAGAAAGGCCTGACAAAGATGCAAAAAATGAAAACTTAATCACTGGGAGTAGGGAGAGATGGCTTATGGACTAAAGTTGTTGGAACAAGTGGCTTGCTAGCTGGAAAAACATATGAATTTGGATCCATATTCA